AAAAAATCATTTTAATCAAATATAGATTAGAAAGTGAAAATAATTGATTATATTTATGCATTTATTATTTTTTTTTTATTTCATCAATTAATATTACAATATTAAATCACATTTCGAATCGAGTTTTAATTTATCTATATTTTCTAATATATCTATATTGTCTTTAGCTCTATAAATAATCACCAAACATAATGTTCCTATAAATAATATAATCATCAAGAGTATAAACATGTAACCTATTTCAACCAAATCTTCAATTGGTGACATGCATATAGCTATTATAAATGCAGCTAAGACCCTGACCATTGATACCAGTGAAATAGCTTCAGTACTATCATTGGGAAATGAATCAATTAGATATTTACATAACATCATACTAATTGTTATATAATACATTGATCTAGCAAACATCATAACTATATACTAACTCTCATAATTATTGTTCTACCACATTTAAAATTTTTAGAGCACGATATTTCGCGTTCTATAAAGCAAATAGTTATTAAATTTTAATAGTATAAAGCCCTTAACTTCCTTTATTAAATGTTATAATTTCGCAAAAAAATATTTATTATTTTTTTTGAAAAAATTTAAATTTCCACAATCTTTGTGGAACAACATTTTTGGCGCAAAACCAAAAAAAATTTTTATATGAATTTTTTTTTAATTTATTTAAGTAAATTATTATTATTATTTTTTTTTTCTAAAATTTACCATTTAGTATACACCCTTTAGCTTTGAGCACATCCTTATTTCGTTGAGGCATCATGTCGATTAGCTTTAAAACATAATCATCATTGATCTCATTCTATACCTTTTGGATTTTATTCCACAAATCCGTTTCACTAGTAATATTACTAGGAAGTTGCTGCAAACGACGATCAACTTCATCTCACAAATGCTCTATAGGATTTAGATCAGGGGAGTATGGCGACCAAGTCAAAACTTCGATTCCTTTTTCATCCAACCAATCTGTAACTATATCTGATATATGTTTCAGATCATTATCATGTTGGAAAATAAAGTCAACATTTGTCAAACGCTATGCTCGCATTGTCCCAATTAATTCATCTTTTAGAATTTCATGATATAGCTCCTTATTTATGTTTCCCTTGATCCTACAATAGTTTCTAATATCTAACACACCCATACAGCCCCATACTATTATGGACCTCCCACTATATTTCACCATCGGCTTTACGTGTTAAGGTAACAATAGCGAATTTGAGTCTTTCCAACACCACTCTCTTCTATTCAAACCAAAAATCTTAAACTTTGATTCGTCTGAAAAAATGACTCTTCGCCAATTTTCGACGGTCTAATTACGATATTTTTTTGTGAAGTTTTTTCGCAATTTTTTGGTCTATGGTTGAAGTAGAGGTTTTTTTTTCTTTACCTGAGATTCAAGACCTTGTCTCCATAGTACACAGCAGATTGTATTCGTGAAAACATAAACACCTTCATTAGATGTTAATTTTTTTTGGGCTTGGACAGCAGTTAGGCATGTACCCGATCTAAATTCTCTGGCTATTCTTCTTTCATAGCGAGTGGTAAGTATTCTGGAGCAGTCTGGCCTTGGTAAACTATCCAAGCAACCAGTTTGCTTCTTTAAATTTTTTATTCATAAGACAGTATTATGGCTTACTTTCTCACGAAAAGCAATAGTACGGCTGGAGTAACCTTTTTCAAAAAGGGTAGAAATACGGTTTCTTTTTGAAATTGGAATCACTTTCATTGTTATATTAGTTCTTTTGCATACTTACCATTATTAATCAAGCAAGTATTTATACATTTTTGGCATCGATGCATCATAATACATATTTTATTTTACTTATATAAATATGCCATAATTATTATACTATATGAAAAGTGCATAATCAGAGGTTTTTTAAAAAACCATAAAATAGGTATTAACTAAATTTGTTCAGATTAAAATCTAAAACGTAGGGTTTACATCACCTAAATTTGCTGGTCATATAATTTATAAAATGTTAAATATCGTGATCTAAAATAAAAAAAAGAAATGGAACAATAATTATGAGTGTTAGTTTAGGTACTGCAACGGGTAATTTGATTTCCACAACCCATCTATATATTCTATAAATAAATAGAAACAATATCAAAAATGGTATTAGATACTTTAATCTTAATTTGGGTTTGCCTTTAATACCTCTCTATTTTAACATATAGTCTGTATACTGTCCACCAAATAACATTCTAATAATATACCCCATTCCTTAAGACAAAAAGACAAGACTAATTTGTGATTCGTTAAAGCTATAAATCTTCATGAAATTTTTCATCACTGTGATATCTTGTACATTAATTATTATTATTATAGTACTAAAGTAAAATAATGTCAATGATACTTTTAAATAACTAAATAAACTTAATGGACCCAGATAATCAGAACTCTTTTTTTCATTCGTTATTTTATCAGTTTTTTGAACATATATCTCAGGTAATGCTATTGATAAAAAGAATAACATACTACTTATGATTGCAGATATCCAAAATATCCAATGCCATTTAATATTTTGGGCAATAAATCCATCTGTTACTGACCCCACCAAAAATCCAATTAAAGGTCTAATGTAAACAATATCTAACCCAGGACCATCTTCATTTTTGCCAAACATATCTTTCACACTGCCTGTAGTAATACTCAGAAATGCAGATATTCAAGCAGTATATAGTACACGTAATACCAAGAGTAACTACATATCATAAGCAAGAGCAGATAATACACTTGACACGAATATTGAACCTAGAGCAAAAATGTATACTTTATTCCTAGTTCCATAATGTTCTGAAACAGTTGCCCAAACTAATGATCCAAATGCAAGAAATAAAGTATATATTCCTATCATAAAGTTTACCAGAAATTCTGTTGTTCGTAAACTATCTTGTATTTTATACATCACAGGATATATCATAGAATGTGACAAAAGTGTCAATGTACTCATACATGAAAGTTCAACAAGTATAGCATATTTCCTTTTCTTTGACCAATTCTTAGGATTATTTGGTTTTTCAGAATATTCATCGTTAGTACTTTCAGATATCATTAACAATTTATATTATGTCTTTATTAATCTATTTTATCATTAATTCAACACAATACAAGTTTTACATTTATTATCAATTCTATTGTTTGATTAAAATTAATAAATAGACAGATAATGAATCAGTTATCAGTATAAACAAATATGGACATATTTAATATTAAAATGCAAACTACCTTTTAAGAGAAATGGCTGAATTTTTTAAAAAAATAATCCAGATTTTAAAACAGAATTTTCATCAATGTTTGATCGTAGCGATGAACTTATTAGACAACTAGTTAATCAAGATAAAAGATACTAGGGCAATTGTTACCATAAGTTTAAAGAATATACAAATGCATATAGAGTATTTAAAGAAAACAAAGATTTTTATTGGTTAAGTAAATATTATAAAAATGGTTATGGAGTAGTCGAAATTGATGAAGATATGGCATATATATTTTATATGTTATCAGCATATATTCAGAATGACCCATATGGAATGGCTCAATACACTGTTGATACCACAGAGAGAGTTTATACTTATACTGATCTAAACATTAAGAATGAATATTTAGATGAGCCCAAGGTATTCCTAATTAAAGCAGCTGATCTAGAAAATAAATTCGCTGAATATAATTTAGGTATTACATACTTAAGTAGAATTTACAGTGAGGTAAATAGAGATTTAGCCATGGAATATTTAATGCTAGCCACTGGAAAGGGTGATAGACATGCATATACTAAATTAATAAAGGAGAAATGAATCAATGAATCTTTTGAAGAATGCATGAAAAATCATGACAAAAGACGTTTAATTTATTTAGCCTAAAGAGATGAAAAATTTGCAATTAACGAATTAATAAGAGATGGATTATGAACTGACTATCTTGAAGAAAAGATCAAAATAAAATTTCCTGAATTAAAAGATTTTATTATATACCAATGAAATGAATTTAATCTGTAATTGATATTATCATATTTTTATTTAATAAATTTTATTTAACAATATCTGCTAGCAGAAATAATGAAAATGCTGAAAATATTCTTAGACAAATTTATCTATATGGAAATTTAGAATATATTAAAGATCATAAGTTGGCTAAGTATTATTTAATTAAATCTGCATATAAAGGAAATAGTGAAGTGATATATATATCGAATCAATATGGTTGGATACAACAAATTAAATCTATTAAACATAAAAATAGACCGTTTCTTCCATTCTTTCGAGAAGATTCAAGCATATTTTACGAAAAATGGGATAGATTATTGAATAATAATCAATAGTTTTTAAACCACTATCGAAATTTAATTGATGAAAAAAATAATCCTAATATATCAGATTATATTGATATAGATATATCAAATTGAGCTAAAATATTTCACAAAAATGTCGATAGGACCTCAGTGTATGATATATTCAAGTCAATCAAAGAATGTTATTAGTTAGGATATTATTACGAAATGGAATATAGAAGAGCAATTAAAGATACTGATATATCACATATATTCTACTTACTATCTATTTATTATCAAAATAGTTTTAGCAGAATGACTAGATATGCAATTAATACATATAATACATTGAATAATATTGAGGATATTAGACTTAGAAAACGTTATCAATCATTAGTTAAAAAATTTTTAATGATCGCAGCTGATGGAGAATATATGCCTACTGAACGACTTCTTGGAGAAGAATTTTATAATGGCAAATTAGGGTTCGGAATAAATAAACCTCTATGGATCGATTTTCTAAGTAGTGCTTCTAATAAAGGGGACAGAAACGCAAAACAGTTACTCCAGGAAATAAATAATGTATAATTATCATTTATAAAATTTATTATGAAATCACTTAATTTATTTATTTAATAAATCAATTCTGATATAATCAAAGTCATCTTCGATATCACTAATATACCTATACTCATTATCAAATTCATTTACATCTACTAAATAATAATCATCAATGATATCATCAGATTGAATTTCACGGTAGTCATTTGGCATTATTAAAGAATTGAAAAATCCTAAATATTCATCATCATCTATTTCAAATTTAGGATATTCTCTTTTAAACGTGGATAAGAAATCTATCAGTAGAATATCCTTTAGCTCAATACAAACATTGTTATCATCATGATTTTGACAAATGTGTTGAATCACCAAGTCAATATCTATATCCTTTTCAAACCAACAAGGACAGAGTTGACACTATATACAGTCTTCGGTTATACAAAACTTACATTTGTTAACATTTCAGATGTCGTCAATTACTTCATCACTCGATACCTCATTTCTTATTGTTGGGGCTTCTCCAAATAACTCGTATGGAAGATAGTCATTGCATCTTTCAATAATATATATTTCTTCATATGAATCATCAGTTGGATGTTTGTCTAAAATATAATTTATCAATTCTTTTTTCATAACATTTTCATTAAACCTAGTAGCCGGATTACAGATCCGACATTGGCATTCCATAGTAAAAATATTAATGAAAAATTTCTGTCAAATTATTTCATCATATTCAATATAATCATCCATGATAATAAATAAAAATACAACTTTAATTCGTGTTTTTATTTTATAAGATAAAAAATATCTAGTTGAAACATACTAATATAACATAATAGTTTGATATACATATAATCTTATACTGTTTTTAAATCTAAAAATTAAAATAATTTTATAATATCATCAACATCCAGAAATACTTTTCCAATTGTTTCAGTTTGATTGTCTGAAAATATATTACAAACTGAGTATGTATCATTGGCTCCGTTTATTTTTATGATAATAGTTTTATAATGTTCATCAAAAGACAAGTTTTCAAGATAATAATTATAAACATAATTTACACCATAATAATTTTTTTTTTTTTTTTTTTTTTCCAACTTGAGCGATCATGCCCGAAATTTATTGAAAAGAAGTATTTTTAAAAAAAAA